TTTTTTTGCTGGATGAATATCATCCGCATTTGACAAACTAAAGTTCTCTTTCATCCTAAATTTCTCTTTCGTCCTAAAAAGAAATTCATTTTTTGACGCTTGTTATGCTGTAAGATTTTTATTTTTTTTTCTAAACAATTTTGTGTTAATTTTCGTGTAAAGTTCTGGAAATTTATATCCGAATTTTTCTATGGTTATTTAATGCTCGCCAAAAAGTCTGTCTTATTTTGTTACCAATGCCCAATCATCGTGTTTTTCTTTGCTATGAAGCTGAACTCTTTTCGTAATTTTTGTGATTGCAAACTATGTAAAGTTTCATAGATACTCTGGCGCAGTCGTCGTTCTGGTGTGATGGATCATGCATGCAGTGACTTGCTCTACTCACAGAAAGATGAATATGTAATATTGTCCAAATTTTAACACACTCTCCTACCCACTGCACCAGTAGAAAATGGCTCTGATACGCTAAGCTAAAGTGTGATAACTAAGATACCTTTTGCTTAGCCAAAGTGTGTCAGAATGATCCACACAAGCGTGAAGAGTGCCTCACTATTAGGTGAAAGTCTCACTCATTGGTCTGAGTGTAGCGTAGCGACGCTTGTCGCCACACTCGCACCCAGTGCTCGCTCATCATTCATCACTGTTCCCACTTGAGCGAATATTTATAGCGGAATTTAATAATCAAGCTCTAAAATAATCGATGCTAAGGACGAGACGCAAAAATTTATTAGATTATTGTTGCAAATAAGCTGCTGGGAGCCTGGTATTAGGAAAGCTGAAGGCTCTCCTTGAAGGCAAACCCTATGCTTAAATTGATTATTTTCATCTCAAAAACATTTATTTGGTTCTTCTCATGAGTTGGATGAGCGCTCAAGTTATTGAAAACATTCTAGAACGTTCGACTCAGACTGTACTTGGGTGCGATATATTTGCTGATGCTAACGCACGTCTCATAGCCATTACATTATTATTTGTTTCACGATAACGAGACCCGATAATCACTGGTAGCGATCATACTTTATTTCCTCGCTCAGTCTAGTTTTGAATGGCGTAGTTACTGGAATTATGCGGGGCTTCTTTTGACCTAAGATGCCGGTCTGATGGTGGCTGCTCTAGTGACCTCTGATTGAATGTAATCGTAACATTCGTCGATTCATCTGCTCTGTTTAGTTGGATTTTAATTTGACTCGTATTTTTAATTTAATTCGTAATAGCGAAAGTGTTTTGAAAGAGTAAATGATCGTATTGCCTACTTTGTGATACGCCATGTTGAAGCTTGATTTTTCTCCGACTACCGTTTGGTGGAGGTGAGTTATATAGCTGTGCGTTAGAGCACATCTCTGGGGAGAAATATAAGCCAATTTATGGTATGACGACATAGTGTATCGCAGCTTCCTGGTAGTATAACTTATATAGGTAGGTATAGTATAGGTATAGTACTTCATAGGTAGAGTACTTCTTAATAATATGATGTACTGTAAGCGAAGTGAGATATTTTTTTATCAAGCAGCTAGATTGAAAGCTTTGGTCAGTTGATTGACTCAATTTGATTGACAGTGTTGAAGCGAGGTTTGATGGTGATTGATAAAAAGTTTGATTACATGCATTAATTGATTTAAATATGCGCATATTTTTCGGAAGAGGTAAGCCGAATCAGTATTCGAAAGCATTGCCCACCACCAAAACAAACACAACAGCTCAAAAAACAATAGCTAGCGAACGAACAAGTGTGAACTGATCCAATTTCTGATGAGATGAGGTTTTGAATGACGGATTGAATGGCCTGGTTGAGGTTGATTGAAGCGTGCGTTAATCGTTTGACTCACGCTACTTGATCAAGCCGCTTGATCGTTTAGGAGCTCCCTATGGTATAAGGTAGCTCATGAGTGTGCGTCTCGGTGAAAAACTCTGTATGCATTTTTTAATGGTATGCATGAACAGATGCGTTTCACTCATCTTGCGTGGTTCATCACCAGAACTTGATGTGCTTTCGACACTAAATTTCAGTACGTCGTATGTAATGACCGATATCATGGGTTTTTCTGTGTTATTTCTATTTCCTACGCTAAAGATAACGCTTTGTAATTGAACGTTTGAGGTGAACCTGTATGCTTTGTGTCATTGATGTCATAGAAGCGTCTCCTCTCAAGGATTTTCGTTGCCAAATAATGGTCGTTTTTGAGCGCTGGCTATATGTGGTGAGAATGTAGCTGCATGGTGCAGTGTGCATGCAGGTGCTGGCTTGTCTATACAGAAGGTGGACGGTATGAATGGAAGTGCCCTCGAGAGCGACCGTGTGAAAATGTCCGCCATGGCTGCCATCATGGGTTGACCTGCACGGGTTACCCTCTTTTCCCCTCACACACCGCCTTATTGATTGCTGTTGCCCTCACGCTGCTGCTGCTGCTGTTGCCCTCACGCTGCTGCTGCTGTTGCTGCTGCTGCTACTGCCCTCATGCTGCTGCATGCTGCTGCTGCTGCTGCCCTCATGCTGCCGCTGCTGCTGCTGGTGCCCTCACACCGCTGTTACCCCATACGCTGCTGTTATCCTCAAGCCGTTATCACGTATTGCATCTCTTATCACGTTTAATGTTATCCATCACGTAACCATGAAGCACCCGACACAGTCACGCATGTGTGACATTGTCGCTACTGCGGACAGCTGTGGCACATCCGGACGTCAGTGCTCCTCTTGTTGCTCGGATTGCTGGCACTTCATCAACTGACCCAGTTTTAATTAATTAAATATTCATCATCATCACAGTTTTAATTCAGTAGGTATATCATATAATCATGATCAGTTATGATAATAGTTGAATGATAATAGGTCATGTTACGATCATAAACTTGACAAAGCGGTCAAACGCGTCACAAAATAGGTTGGACTATATCGCTACATCGCTACCTAAGCGCCTGCTTAACTTGCGTGGATTTTGTGGTGCAATTAAATCACAATCGCGTGTCTCGTAATTGATAATGTCACATACGTTCTCTGACAATTATTGCGTAGTAATCGATAATATTAATGACGAAAATTGATATTTGAAACTCTATTTTGTGGTACGTTCTTATCTCAAAGCACTAAACGCTTTCCTCTATCTTCCTTATCAGTTAATAAGAATCATGATTCACTTACCTGGACTAACTTCTTTTCAGGTTTGTTGTGCATGTTTGTGAGTAGTAGCTTATCAATTTCGCTTCAGTTTATAATAGGCCGTTGTTGGGAGAGTACGCGCGTGAACGTTCCGCATGCCACGGAGCCGAAGTGCGAAGTCAAGTTCAGCCTGGACAGTTCGTGCTGTTGGTTATGCTATTGTATATTCGCCAGAGTTTTCTCTAGACAGATTTTATAGACTTTTGTAATCGCCAGAGTTCGCCTCCCTGGACAGTTTGTGCAATTTGAATAGTCTTGGGGATTGGTAGTTTTATGTAATGGATTGCGGACGTTCGTATAGGACCCTTACGTAAACTAAGAGTCTCATTGTTGCACCGGCACGTGCGCCATTTATCCTCATTCGAACTTTCTGTTTTCATTTTTTTTCGTCGCTGAATTCAATGACTTTTGCTTTTATTGTTTGTTGGCCTGTTAAGTTCTTTCTTATTGAATCCATGACCATTAAATATTGTCATTCATGCCTGTTTTCTTGATGCCGCTCTTGAACAAAATGGTGATATATTTATCCACGTCCTATCGTACGTCATGCTAGAACTCCTGTGATTGTAACCCTCCAGGCAAATCGGGTTGAAACCACATTGTTTAATAGTTGATTTGTTTGCAACGTTATTCCAACGTGAGATGTCTGCTGGGGAATGGTGCTGATAAGCAGCCAGCTACAGCAGGTACTGTTTCCACTGGAAGACAGTCTCGAAATAACTCCAGTGTTAGGCTCATATTTAGGCTGGGCTGATATTTAGGCTCGTATATGAACTAGGTACTTATTTAGGCTCATATTTAGGTTAATTAAGGTTCTTTTTAGTGCCACGGAGATCGCTCACTTAATACTTACTCGGAAAAATGAATAGGTTATATTGTCAAAATAGTGACGCACTTTCTGCCATTTAGCTGAGCCCAGCAGGGTCAGGATTATCAACACAAAGGAGAAATGTGCATCGCTCAGTGGACAGATTCACTCATTTCTCTGAGTGGAGCAGTTGAGTTCTCGAATCTGGGGTCTTGCTATAGGTTCCGGCAAACTGCTAAGCCATGAATACAACAATATTCCACAATACTAAAAGTTTAATCACCTGATTTAATTGATCACACATGTTCAGCAGTGTACACTGTATCTTAATTTTAATTTTTTTAAATTTTTATGAGTTATGGTTAGTATCATAACGGCTGGGATTTTTTGCAGGAGGCCGAATTTCTCAAATTGAGGACTCCGACTCTTCAAAATAGTTTGAAGTTAAATTCAGATCAATCGATAAAAATATAAGCGCATTATAGTTGGCAGTCGATGACTTGAAAACCTGAATCGCTGAATTAATTATTAACGCTTTCTGAAGGTTACACATGAAGGCTTTTTTTACGGGTCAGACTAGTTTCCTCATTTCGACATAGTTTCCTCATTTCTCTGAGTGCACAAGGACGAGTGGGGGTGGCTCCTACAGGACCAGGTCAAAAGGACGCCGGTTTAGGGCAGATGCAGGAAGTAATCTGGTAGGCTGGGTAGGCTGAGGAACCTTTTCCTGGTGCTATTCTCAGACCTTGTCGTCCATAAAGCCCTCGGTCACTTGCTACGACCCTGCATCTCTCGTCTCTTTTGCGCCCTCTCTTTATTTCTAAGCCTCTATTTTTCAACCTCTGTTTTTCATCTGTGTTTCGTTTTTTATCTGCAAAATTTAATCAGGGAATAAACCGAATTCAAATTCAACTCAGCTTACCAGTTTGACGAATCGAAGTGTGAATTTTATTATATGTTTTGGAGTGAAACTGGATAGTTTCTACATTCAATTCAGGCTTAATTATTTGTCTGAAACTGATGCTTTAGCTTCTAGCAATGAGTTTACGAAACTACGTAGCTGAGCTTGTTATTGAGCTCAAGCGAAAGCCGTGCGAAGAATTCTGCGAATTTGACTTTGTCGAAGACGATTCTCCCTCGCAAGACGTGAACATCGTCGATGACTTGACAAGTGGCCTTCATCATCCAAACAGAGACGATGTGCACCGCCACGTTACGACGCTGGTCGTTCATCTGCCTGCCTACAGAGACGAGGCGCGTAGCCACGTGACGACGATGGTCGCCCGTCGTTCCTCCTACAGAGACGAGGTGACGACCAACTCCTTGTCTTACTCCGACTATGAAGCTCACGACGAATTATTCGACGAAAATGCGATGAACGTTGATACATTTTTTCATGGTGATCGTGCGTCTGTAGAAGATGGTGGAGAGAGTGTCGTCGTGGAAGATGGTGGAGAAAGTGACGACGGGGAAGATGGTGAAGAAAGTGACGACGTGGAAGAGGGTGAAGAAAGTGACGACGAGGAAGATGGTGAAGAAAGTGACGACGTGGAAGATGGTGAAGAAAGTGACGACGTGGAAGATGGTGAAGAAAGTGACGACGGGGAAGATGGTGAAGAAAGTGACGACGAGGAAGATGGTGAAGATACTGTCGACGGGAAATATGGTGAAGATACTGTCGACGCTGTTGATAATGCGAGAAGACATGCCATGTTTAAACGAAAGTCGACGCGGGACTTATTGCCCACGGTGCGCAGGCGTCTAGTACGACCACTCTCCCTTTACGACTCACCACGAGAAGCTGATATCTGTACCACCACATGGTACAACCCACCACTATCACCACCACTACTACCATCATCACCACGTCCCGCCAGGTCAGAAATGTCGCTATACGTCTACCGTACGCCTTTTGATACCCATCTTACACACGTTATAATCCTTGAGCTTTATCTCCTCAGTATCTTAGGTTTAGTTTCGTTAGTATTTCGTGCTTCAATTCCTCCTATACTAATTTTTTATTACGTTATAATTCTTCGCATTGATCGAGTTTTTTTTTTTCATTTGTCGCAGTTACTTCATTTTATTATTTTCATTCCAAGCCTCGCATATAATCTTGGATTTTCTCTTGCCCTGATTGCCGTCTTCAAGCCGACGCGTAGCCAACGTGTTGAAGATTAAAGAATAAAATTCATTCATCACCTTAAAATATTTTAGTGTTGCTATTATATTATATTTTATTATTGTGAGATTTATTTATTAATCTTTATCGACTCGTTGCAATTAGAATTAATATAATTGCTTAAGTTTAGAGCCTGTCTACCGTAAATTGGAGTTGTAAAGAATATGGCTCTTTGTTCGGGGGATTGTTGAGAATGAAAACGCGTTGTAGATTGTAACGGTTTCTGAAAACAAAGAATGAACAATTTGAACACAAATCGAGGTTATTCGAGATTATAAACAATATAGAGAAAATAGCCAAGGTTAACAAGTAATAAAAAGGATCATAACATAAGTAAATGTTAACATACCAAATTGCTGAACAATCTCTGTCAAGTTTGGTTCAAATGAATTTTGCCTGAGCTCATTAACTCTGGTCCTGCCTAAAAGGTCCCAACCTTATGTATACGAGAGAAGTATGCCTAGTAAAATTCTTTACAGGAGTATTGGAGCGCCAAAGCTGATACAAGAATGATTAAATTTTAAGTTATCCTTCATGACTTGAGTTCCATCTTGTTTCGTATCAACACAACTCCGTCGAATGATGAACTATTCATTGCCTGGTGAATGTTTTCATTTAAATCATCCCGCAATAAGGTAAAAACTACCGTTGTTTACGTTACTATTATTAGTAGTATTATCATTATTATTGTTATTATTATTCTTCTACGAAGAGATTATCGTAATGTCTGGTACAACAAAACTTCGAGGGCACGGTACATGTCGACGAAAATAATAAGTTTAAAAGTGAGCACGAAAACCAAAAAAGAAATAAATTATAGAAACAATATGATGACCTTCGAACAATAAACACTTCGAAACAATATGACCTTCGATTATGATACAATAATCGAAGGCTCTACGAAATTATTGAGCATAATAGTAAGCTTTGACTGACTACATAATTTTATAACGTTATTATCGTCCCGTAGCATTAACATTAAATTTAATATGGCATCATTTGGTGCAGTATTCAATACATTCTTTGATATGGCGTTATTTGCTGCAATACACATTTATTAAGGAACACTTTTCGTACATACAACTGTATATCTAAACTGGGTACGATTATAATGTGCTGAGTTATGCAGTGCAACAAGGGTTGATTAATATTGCGTCATTTGCTGAAACGTAAATTAAATTAAATAACTTTTGTCGTACTGCATAATTCTACACTCTATAATCGTACTTAATTTAGAAACACAGTTGTACGTATGCAGTACGAAAATGGTTAAATAATAAATGTGCATTGCAGCAAATGACGTCATCTTAATCAATATAATGTATTATTTTATAAGATATATGAGGGTAGTTTACATTGTCCACCTACAAGTGCCACCCTCGCCTCACTGGCAGCGGCTGCAGTGTCACTCAGACGACCTCGGCCATCAGGGCATCAGGCGGCCCAATGTTGGCAGTGTCCTTTTTCCGGCCACATTAGACGATTGTCCTTTATTGACCTTTTTTACATTGCTTTGACCGGCAAAAATCGATGTTAACTTTAAATTTATTGCATTTCTCTAGGTAAAAAACAACAAAAAAGCGAACTTTTTGCCGAAGATGAGAAATTTACTTTGAAAAATTATTAAGACCGCTTTCGGCCTTTCTGCGGATTTGGCCGTTTTTTTCTGGCCACCAACTGGCAACCCTGAATTATTCATTGCGGGCCAGTGTGAGAGATGCCACTGTGCAGGGAGGTGCGCGCTGCTCCCGCATGAAACTCGACGCGCTCCTATATTCTGTCGCTTCATTAGTTAGCAAAATATAAAACTTCCATTAGCGCGGTGAAAACATATTAAATTCAAGCTTTTTATGGTTGATATTTTGATATTTAGTAGATTTTCTAGACTCTGTAACGAAACTCTATTTTGTGAATCCCAAATTTTCTGCTTGAATCTGCAGTGTGCAATTTATTCATATTGTGATGTTTGTGAATTACTATGAAGTATTATGCTGTTTCTAGGCCTTTGTAAGACAGTTTTGCTAAACAAAATTCCGTTTTGTTAGTATCAAAAGTACTTCTTGTGTAACTTATGATCAGAAAATATGATTTCGTGTTACTTGAAGTTCCTGCTTCCAGTTGCTCAGAACTAAACGAGATGCTGTCTTGTGGTGTTGGTTGTGATGTGCGATGCAGAAAAAACAGCATGCAACAGAAATTGGTGAAGGCAATAATTTTCACAGTATTGAGAATTTGTAGTCATAAATTTGTGCAAGTGAGGTTCTAGAAATTGCAATGCAAGGTGTTTAGGATGTTGCTGGTAGCAGGGATACGTTAAGACGATGTACGTGAGATTTTTATGGAGAATAATAAATTAATTTCTGATTTATTATATAATTCCATTGCTCGCGTTGCGTTAATTATTAGGAGATGATGTCATAAATGTAAATTTAATTAACTGACATCACTATCAGTTTAATAGAAAATTAAAGAACGAATATAATTCGTGGGACTTAGATATTTTCTTCTTAAGACTGAAGCAACACCTCCATTCACACCGAAACAAAGATACCTCTTGCACATTATTGTAATTAGCGATAGTAAATTGCGTTAATATTTAATTATTAATTTGACCAAATATGCTTCACGAGTTGCCTAGCTGCGCTGGTTAAATGATAATGTGCCTCGTTTATATAAAAAATTAAAGGCATATTTTAAGCAGCATTTCCGGAATCGCGAGTCTCTTCAGTTTGCCGAAGCTTTATGCTGATGAAGAGGAACTGCGGTTTGGGCGAAATTTCATGCATCTCCCTAACTTAAAATATTCCAAAATTGCGACATAAACTCCTATCGTATTTATAATTAATCAATTTTGCGTTCTTGATTATTTTGCACCAAAGACATATGTATTCCTTCCCGGAAAATTCGGCTTGTGTAAAATTCTTTCGTTTTAGAACTCGCGTGCATTCCTGCTTTTGGGCGCGTGTCCTACGAGGCGTGTAATTTGTGCACTGAATTAGTCATTTTCTGTGAGCAGTTTGTGTCGGTGTTGAGAGTCAGGGAGGGACGATATTGGACATTCTCAGCAGTGTTTTTGAGAGCTTTAGAGCGTCATTATTGAGGGCTGTTCAGGTCACATTGAGCTCTTTAGCTCAAGGCCTGTTCGTCTGAGGTCATCAGTCTTCACTAAGGCGTCGTTGCGAAATCAAGCAAACTCTTCGACTATTAAACGAATTTATTCCCAAAAAGCGGAAATTTATTGGTAGAAGTGTACCAAATAGTGGTGACCAATTATAAATGTTGACGGTTTAATTTTATTCAATGTTTACCCCCTTTGTTTACGGATATATTCGTACCTTTGTTTACGGACATATTCGTCGTCCTTACTATTCCTACCTGTACTAAAAGCCTGGTGACAAAAGCTGTTGTCCGTAAACTAAGTGTTTTATTCTAGTCATATATGTATTATGTATTCTAGTCATATATGTATTATGTATTCTAGTCATATATGTATGTATTAATTAACTACCAAGCAAAAATTATGCTCGTGATAGCGTACAACACGGCATATTTCAATTCTAGCAATTGAATCGCACAGATTCAAGCTGAATTGGTACCTTTGCGCACAAATTGCAATGGTTTCTGCCATCGTCATTAGAGTAGCATATTTACCCCTCAAAAATTGCTCAAGTATGCTTTAAAAATGACAAGCGCGCTAGCGTACGCCGACGTACAGGAGAAGTGAAGCGTGGGCGTGGAGCTATTCCTATTGTTATCGGTCGCCCCGTATTGTACACGACTGGATTCGTCAAATTCAGTTCAGCCCCCAACACGTGCGATATCGCTGTTTTTTCTTTTTTATCAATGATCAATCTCGAGAAATTTGATTCATAGAATAATCTTCTAAAATTTTCATATCCTGGATTGGTAAAGGAACTTGATACTCGTTTGCAACTTCCTACTTTTCGATCATGGTGATGCAATAATTTTTCTCCTGTCCTAGATATTTGGTTCGAAATTAGTGAAATGAAAAATTTCAAAGCAACCAATCTATAAGCTGAGCGTCTTTCTTAAGTTTAGTGACGTTTGCAAATGCTTGAGATTCAACAAAAGTATGACGGTTTCGCCACCTGCGGTCACGTGGGTTAGGATGCAAAATACACAGAAGAGAGTCAACGCTACACCGCATTGAGTGATTTTAATCAAAACTGTTAACTAACTTGTTTTTAATGATAATGTTTCAGTAGATACTTGAAGGTCGCGGCTGAACAAATCATCTATACGAATTATTTTTTTTGATGAGCGGTCATTAAATATCATCCGTGGCAACTCGTCAGGATATCAAATACAATGACGTGTTCGATGTAGCCTCAGAAAAAATTATTGTGTCATGTTGTCGAAGTAGTTATCGCTTCCTTTACGCTCTTTTGCCAGGCCAAAAATTGTCAGGACGATCATCGAGGCAAAATATGAAGTCAAACTCAGAGAAGTCAAACTCATTTCTCTGAGTGTAGCCTGATATGCGTGCATGACGGGGCCGTGATGGTCTCCATGTACAGTACGAGATGCTTGGGAATGACTGTGAAAT